ATTATTATAGTTATTGGTTGGTTATAGCTGATACGAAATAAATCGTATTACTGCAATGTTTTTTCGCCAGAGTGCAGCACTGTAGTTTTTTGATTGACAAGTATCGTTCAAAGCGTGAATAAAATTTCAAATCAATCGTAATTCGAGTTTCAAATACCTAGGTCAAACAATATTTTCATACAATTATGAAATTAGTGCTGGATACATTTTCGCAGATTTTTGTTCATTGCGAATAACGCTTTATATTCTGTTTGTGCTGGTAGCGCCCTCTGTAAAGAGTTTTGCGGAAATGGAGATTTTATTGGAAAATTCGATAGTTTTTGATCGAAATCGGTGTTTTCTGTTATTTTAGTCCGCGTAAATGTTAGCCCTTTAACTAAATATGCTTTAATATAATATGGTTCGATGAGTTTTTAATTTATTCATGTGCTCATCGGCGCGTAAGGGCCATATAAAATTGCGATGGTTACAGGGTTATCCATTGTTTTCGGGACACCCTGTATTTATTTTATTTATTAGGACAACCAACAAGACAAAGCGCATACAAGATAATGAATAACTGAAAAGATTACTTACCAAAGATTTCGTAAATGGACGAACCAAGGCGAATGCAAGTCGGAACAGCCACCACGACTTGCTGAGATTGGTGAATACCATGTTGCCTGGATGTAAGGAATTCACACGTATTCCTTTACTTTTCCATTCTTGACTCAAGACCTGAAATAAAAATGTTTGTCCATTTAAAAAAAATGTGGAACTTCTATTTCGCTGGCCAACCAAAATGTCTTTTCTTTTAAATTTTCCGACAAGTCATTACTAGTCACGATGCCAAAGTTACATTTTAAATTATTTAGTTGAAAGTTGACCACCAATTGCCATGTGGCGTAGGCGCGATATATTTTAAGAGACACCTTAAGGTAAGACACAAACAATGTTTATCAGTTTTTCTCCCATAAAATATATGACGTAGAAAAATATTTAATTAAAGACATTATATTAAAACTGGGTAATTTTTACTTACTTTAGCTGTGATTACATTAAATAGCTTGGAATTATTATACGCCATCATCGAAGTGTATTGCTCCCTGCTCATTGACAAGCTTTGCTGTGTGAATGCATTTTTTAAACTGGCAAACCTNAATGGGTGTTAATGGGTAAAAACCGGGTTTTTACCCAAATCACCCAGTTTAAACCCAATCGGGTGAAATGGGTTTTTACCCACTACCCATCTCTAAGCGTAACAGACAGACAGACAGACAGACAGAGTTACTTTCGCATTTATAATATTAGTTGGGATTGTCACATGAGTTTGTTGAGTAGTATTTTCGGAGAATATTTTGGACAAGTGCTTTTTGAGGGACCCCCACACTTGCGTATTTCGAGCGTATTGTCTTTGAATACAATTAGTGTAAAAATGGACCATGCAATGCCAGGGCTGCCAGAGATATGCGTAGAAGTAGAGAAAGACGCTATAATAATATAGTGGGGACACTAGTCTGCTGAGATTCTTCAGCAGTTCTTTGACCTTTTTTTGACAACAAAAAACATTTGTAATACAAAGCCTGTGAGGCTACATTATCCCTAGAAGAGCAGCCCAGCCCAGCTGTATCACAGGCTGACAATTTAAAAATAAAAGGAATTTGAAGTTTATACATTAGACACTTGTGTCCAACACACCTGTGCGATTCAGATGATACAAAGACCACTCGTGAGTCTTTCTTCAGCAATGGCTCTAACAACAAAGCGAGGTACATATGCCCTAGGTGGTTGACCTGGAATGTCATCTCATAGTTGTCTTCAGTCTCCGTATATGGCAGCCCGAAAACACCTGCATTTAGTATCAGCATATCCAAATGACTGAAAGTAAAATATTATTTTAATACAATTAAATATCAATAGAAGTGCATAACAACAATAAATTATGATAGTCAATTGGATGATTATGGAGTGCATTAACTGCAATCATGATGCCTTGAGCTCAATATTTTGCCATTATTAGTATAACATTATCGAATTAAGGTATGTAAAATTTTGTCCAATGACCCCAAGCTACCCATAATTATGTTGCTGTCGCGCTCGCACACTCACTGCGGACGCCCGTCGCACAGTCGCGATAAAATATAATTACGCGCGAGCGATTAGGATGGGTAGCTTGGGGTCATTGGACAAAATTGTACGTGCTCACAGACCGGGCTTTAGTTATTTTTTTTAATGCATTAATATATTATAAAATTCTGGTGGTGTATAAACACCTTCATACCAGCATAAATAGGCAGCCTATGTATTTTCGTAAAATTTAAATGAGAATATCTTACTCAGAGAACATAGTTTTCACAGCCAAAGCACACTTCTTCACACTTTGCAATGAAGCCAAATCTAGATGCACCATTTTCAAGTTATCTTCAGAAGCATTGGTTTCTTTGACAATATCTTCGATAGCTTGCTTGGTAGCTTCAAGGTTCCGATTGGCAAACAATATGTGGCAGCCGTGCCTTGCCATGGATTTAGCTGTTTCATACCCAATTCCTGCGTTTGATCCTGTGATTAGAGCATATTTTCCAGATAGATCAACACCATGGAGAACCTGAAATTTTTAATACATAATCTAAAAGTTCTACCACCGTGAAAAGTATAATCATAGTTTAGTTACGTAGGGCAAGTTTTTTAATAAAGTACTTATAGATATCGAAGGAAAAGGAATGATTGAAAATATTCTGGTTCTAAAATAAGATTTTATACAACACAAAGCTGTTATTTGTCTGCAATCACACGTGATGTTAAGTGAGATGTGGTGTAGGACGGTAGATACCTGCCCTTCCCATGAGTAGAAGAATAGAAATATTCATTAAAAGTCACCTGGAAAGCTGTAGAAGATGAATCATAATGCTGCCGAAAATCATTCACATGCTTTTTCAGTTCTTTAGCAAATGCCAGTCTTGGGTCGACATACGTCTTAGTGCCTGTGTCTTTATGGATATAGACGGTTTTTCCCGTCTCGTCATCCTCTTTCGCCCACCCAAACGGTAAATCCTTGGGGATTACTTTCTTGCAACCAGTTCTTGGATGGGTCCATTGTATTTTACTATCATCACAGGTACTGAAATTTACATACAAATTGCGACTACTTTTCTTAGAATATTATATCATTTTGGAATCTTGGATAGTTGCATCAACTTTATAAAAAACTTGCCACAGTAATGTTCATACTTTTTTTTTACAAAACAACAAGTCAAAGTGGAGTGAAAGTAAAAATCGTTCAAAATTTTAAGGAAATATCATATTTTGATTAACTTTTGTGTAAAAACTGCAAGGATTCTGGGGGTTTTGAGAAATGGGGTGGACAGCAGCACTACTTAAGTTACCGATACAAACAAAAAAACAGAAATATTAAAATAGTGGTGGCCGTGGTAATGTAAAATGTCATAAGGGGTGTACATGTTCGACGAATTTCATTATTTATTGTGTAACTTAAAAAATAATTGAGATAGATTTTATTTCTTATTTTTCCTAAAGTAGTCATGACTATGTCCACCCTGCGGCGCCGGCTTATCGTTGAATTTTGGGACACGTATACCTATTTATACTAAGATAAGATATGTAGCTGTAAAATGAAGCACATATTCATTGTATAGGCAGAGTGGATCTAAATTCTACAATTACAAGAAAGTTCTATAGATATAAAATGACAACGCATACTTCACAAAATACACATTTCCGTCTTCGGTAGACTTCTCCTCCCAGCCCGCTGGTAGCTCATCTTCGCTATCTGAGTCAAAGTTAAGCATTTTTGTCCTGAAAGTAGAAATTTGTTGACTTGTTGAAAAGCGGTAATAGGAAAGGAAGATTCTTATTTAGCTAGCACATTATTTTATATAACACACCGGAATATAACCGTGCCTTTATTCTGACGAATTTCACTGTAAAAAATATATTGTTGAAATGTTTTTTCTCGACTAGTTTCAACTTTTTTGCACTTAGCACTTTTATTATGATTTGTGTCAAATAATGTCAATTGTCAAATTTGACATTAATTAAAGTGACAGTGACAACCTGTATGACATGAGACGCATTTGCCATTTTCCAAAAGTACAGAAAAATATAAAAAAATTGGCTATGGATTTTATTAACCTTTTGAAGACCACGGGGGGGGTTGAGTGCTATTAGGTATAGTCTAGCGTGCACACCTAAAACAGACAAACACAACGGCACAAATAAGATTATAACTTCATATACCGTGTAATGGCTATGCTCACGTGACATTGGCAAACGTGGAAACACAGTAGCCATAGAGGAGAAGAAGAAGAAGAAGAAGACCACGGTCTTCTATCGCCGAGTTTCCTCCAGTGCGTGTTTTGTCTTACACAATCAACAAAAACATGACAACATTCAACAAAATTGTTTACAAAAAACATTGTTTCACTACACAGTTTTGTTTGCATCAACAATGTTTTGCTTTCCATGCTATGTTTCCATGCCCGGTGGAAAACACGTACACGTACAGCTACAGGGTACCCATTTCCGTCTTTTCTCTCGCTCTCATCAAATGGCGATTCTTTGCGTTGCGATAGAACGTTTATGTACTATACTCTATGATAGAACGAGACGACTTGAGCGGAAATGAAAGAAAGAAAGNAGCGCGGATTGAGGACACTAATCGCCTTAACGTTTAGCTTTAGCGTTCCTCATTTAGAATGGGGATGCATTCTAAATGATCGGTTACCATTTTACGTACGATAAGTTTTCATATAGATTGGTTGGTTCGGTTCTATAAAGATAGTAGTGGAGCAGTAGAAGTTCGTAACTCCGTAAGTCAGTGGTCAGCATAGTCGCCCATCAACCCTAAAAGCGTTTAAGTTAAATGAATCAAAGTTGTAGGTAAAACATCAACGGAAAAAGGATTTAAATAAAATACTTTTACGTTAAGACATACGATTTATTTAAATTTGGATATCTTACATAAAGTCAATAATATAGTAGGTACTGTTACACACTGATTTGAATAGTGCCCTTATTACATTTATCAGTAACTTTTAAGTAGTATTACTAATTTAGAATTTTGTAACTTAAAACAACATGGAATATTATGACAAGTGGCAGCAATGAATAAGAAAATATCCGTAGTGAAATGATATGAAAAATTGCGTTGACAAATATATTGCGAAGTAAGTACGAGCTTCTCACATAAAAATGTACTTCATCCAGATTATTCGAGAATTAATTAAAAATTTGGCAAGAATGTATACAATACTTTTTTATAATTGAATTGAACTATATTAGCCAATAATGTTTCCATCCAATGTGAATCAAGATAGTGAATTACATACTTAGATATACATATTCTCGACAATAATACCTACAATATCGTGTCAGTATAATATTATGACTTCATAAATGTTAATATCGTTTAATTACTATAATTCAACATGAAGATTTACTATGTGTTACATGTTTAGGCCATTTTGAAACTACTTACGGACCTTACCATTTTATATGAGCAAAGCAGTGACTTCAAGCAATTTTCTAGACACTCAATAACCAGACTACATCTAAAATTTACGTTCCGTTAGTTGGTACACACATCAAATATTAATATACATTAATTATTTTTCCCTTACATTTAAAATAAGTCGTTGCAGGTGCTAGAAACCTTTAATGCAGATGACATTTATTACTTTTGAAAACTTCCTAAATAAGCGCGTACATACAACTGCTATAAAGATTTCATGCCACTGCAAGATACCAATGAGCTAAGGCATCATTGCTTGGTAATTTATACTTGGATAATCTTACACATTGAGAAGTACACGTAACTGTGAGTAATTCAAACACGGTATATCTGTCAGAAAAGTTGCAGCATGTCAGTTTTTATACTACAATTGCCTATGAACAAAGCGAAACAATAGTATAATAAAACCTGCTTTCCGTATACAACATTATGGTAGGAACATCGAATGTGCATTGCCAATAGCGTCAAAATGGACGGTGTGATGCCACACAAATTGACATCATGGTCGTTTTAAACTTACATACTTGTAAGTAACGCTTGTGTAAGTGCAATATGATGTTACCAGATGTAAATAGAATAGACACTTCAAGACATCAATGATTATGAATAGACATTTATGTTACATTATACTAGCCTAGAAATGAGGAAGGAATGTTGTTATTATGCCAAAGAAATTACAATAAATGATACATAATTTAGTCCTAAGCAATATTTTGACTCGCGTTCTGATGATGATAACAACAAAAAATGGCAATAAACCAATAATGTACACAAAAAATAACTGTGTATTTTAAACTCTAACAGAATTAAGTATAAATAGAAGTGGAATATAAAACTAGTGTTTACCTAAGTATCATACGAAAATAAATTTTTCAAACATCGTAACGTAATGGCACTACAGTTGCAACAGGTAAAGGACCGAGCGCGGGAGTGCCATCACCGCTCCTTTACAACTAGGCGTCGGGGGCAGACCCAGGAGAAGGGAATGACTCTGAAGTAACTGCAACAGTCAACTATATTTTATTAGGTACCAGTAAATTAATTTGAAGATAAATCTTTAATCAAAAATTTTATTTTTGTTTCATTTCATTTAAATAAATATAGGTAAATAGATAGTCTGGATCAGCCCCCAACGAAAATATCCCTTTAAAATTAATAATTATATTAATATTACAAATATAGGCACAAGCAAGGGCCATAAACCTGTACTCAATCACACATTAACCTGCATTAATCATGGAGTAATTGTAAATCAACACTAATTGACACATTGCAAGAAACGATATTGCTGTAATTTAAATATTGAATGCTACTTTTTATTACAAAGATGTATCGGTTGAATAGATTTTAGCAAAAGTATTTTCAGTACAAGACATCAGCGGAGATACAATGAATGAGAAACGCAATCATACGCTATGGCAGAAGAGGTACAGACGACGGCAGGTCAAATTAAGACTGGCGCACCTATGCTCTTGCGATTGGTGCGATTATGCAAGACAAACGTAAAATCGAATAAACTGATCGACACTGGCACCTATGTTCTTATTTATAGGTGCGATTCACTTAAACGTATAGTCCAATATGCTGTCGACTGTACAATAAAAAAGGTTTGAATTTGAAAAAGGAATACGAACCGGGCCGTTGGCGGGAGATCACGTGGGTACAGGTGGTGGTGCCCCGCGAGCTTTAGACGCGGGCCTGCGCGCCGTGCTGCGGCAGCATGACCACGGTGTTGGTGGGCGGCGCGGCGGCTAGCGGCGGCTGCTCGGTCGGCGGGGTGTCGGGCTGTGACAACAATAAAATGATTTCGTCTTTTGTTTCTTGCCGGGCTAGGATGCGCACCGTGATAAAATCTTGTCGACGATTTTAGACGACAAACGTATGGGCTTATCGCGTATAATCGATAAAATGGCGCGATAAGCGGTTGTAGCGGCGCGCATTCTAGGCCTATTGGACGTCTGCTGTGTCGTCATTTGTTGTATTTGTTAGTCAAAACTCATAACAGTTCAAAACCACTTTTAACTGATTTTTCCCGTCAAAAATTAATTTGGCGTTTGTCAAAAGCACTTTTGACTGCAAAAAATGCAAAAATCAATCAAAAGTGGTTTACTAGGAAACCCTGGTGAAATAGGATCCCTTGACTGCTATAAAAAGCGGGTTACGGTCTGCTCCATGTCGTTGCTCAGTCAACTCTGCTAACCAAGTGCGGTCCTCCAAAAGAATGGGTCCGGGCAAACACACCACCCGTTCCCGTCTGAGGGGGATTTTTAGAGATGTCACAGAACTCACTGGTCGTTCCCATCGCCCAGTGGGTATGCGCAAAGCATTTCCCGACGTAAAAAAAAACTATAGTCACTGACCGTGAGCGCGGGGTCGGCGGCAGCCATGAGCGTGGCGGCGCGGTAGGACGGCGGCGGCGTCTGCTTGACGGCGTCGTCGTAGGCGGGCAGCAGGCTGGAGTAGTCGGGCGCGGGCGGGGGACAGGCGTGCGGCAGCGGCGCGGGCGTCACCACGCCGTCTTGAGAGATCACGAACGGAGTGAGGCTGTGCAACGCGTGCGCGCGCATCGTCAGGTACTTGTAGCAGCGCCACACGATGTTGATGCAGTACGCCTGCGGGGAAAACATTTAAGTATGAAACAAGTCTTTAAAAAGTACAAGAACAACAAATTTCACTAAAAAGGTGTGTTCGAAAAGCACCTGCTCAGTTTTAGTCATGATTATGCTGACATTGGTTTTCAATTTACAATCTGATTAACTGCGCACCTTGCTGGAATGCGACTCTCCCTCGCACTCACCTGCTCATCTTCCCGGGTTCGCCCCGTTCGTATCAGAGCATCGATATGACGTCACAGCCGCCAAGTGCACAGTTAATTTGACCGGGTTTTATAAGCAAAATCGTATGTAATCTCTAACCCCCTTATTAATAAAAAGTTACACCCTAGTTGAACTCTGGCTTAAGTTGTCATTTAGTATGGAAATGACATTTTAATCCAGTGTTCATCCTAGGTGTAACTTTTTATTAATAAGGGAGTAATAGTAAGACCATGGGTCAAGCACAGCACAGCACACATAATAAGAGGCACAGAGTACTAAGTATTTAACAGCCAGCCCACCTTAATCAGCACAGCGGCCAGGAACGCGGAGACGACGACGAGCGCTAGCGCGGGCGCTGGTAGTTGGAGCAGCTGAGCGCGCCACGGCACGCGCCGCGTCTCCGCAACCAGGCGGTGGATCGAGCGCAGGTAGCACAGGTAACCGGTCGCCGTTACGCTGCGAGAATAAATAAAATAAAAGAAATCTATATCTAAAAAATAAACTATGTGCTAGGAGTCTCAAATTTTGCATGGGGGTTCCTTTTAAAGTTTTAAGACGTAGGTGCTCACTAAGACGGGATTTTGTAAAATTCAACCCATTAGAGAGTAAAACGGGATCCACGCGTAAGAAGTCGAAGTAGGCTACAAAATAAACTGAATCTATCCGAAAATTCAAACTTTCCAGCTTCCTTAGAAAGATGGACTTTCAGGAACAGTTACCAATTGTTCAATATCTAGTATGGTTTAAAATAATCGCATAAGATCAGTATAGTTTCCAGCCTGCCTATTATACTGACTACTACATAATAATTCATTCTTAAAATGTTTAACCCTCTACTTATAAAAACGCTAAAAATTTTATTGGTTATTGTTTTGAACCTAATACGATACCACGATAGTTTTGAACCTTATTCACTATCATAGAGATAGTGAATAAGGTTCAAATATATTGTGGCAAAATATTCGCCAGATATAAAGCCTATAAAGGGTGACTATCTGTTTCTCGCTTTGCAATGGACCCAAGTCGATATTATAATTCGAATTCCTCCTATACCCCTCAGATTAAATTCATTAGGGGACCCAAGCCAGTCTGCCATCCTCCGGGACTATTCTACCTTAAATGGTTGGGTTTCATTGAAGTCGAAAGCCTTATCGATGACGACTCGATTTACCAATACAATGCTACAACGTAAAACTATTATGGGTTTTATAAATATGTTATCAATACTCAACTCGGAATGAACATTGTTATCAAAGCGAATAATGACGAACGTTGTAAGTATGTCGTGAATCACGAAAAATGGCTATAAAATAAAATTTACTCAGGGTGACATTACCATACTAACTTCATCAGCACAATGCATTTGCTATCAATCGTGGATTAAGAAATATCGATAACAAAGATAATAGCAGTATTAAGTAATTTTATTTTAAAAAAGTAAAAACCCTAAATGTTGCTTTTTCAAGAAGATGATATTATAGGTACTAGACTCTAGAGAAATTGATAATCGATTCCTAATAAGATTGAGTGGCATATTTTTGTAAAAAATAAATATGGTACAAAAATTGCTACATAATTAAATAAAATAATACATATAATCAAGCAATGCTAAGTATGTATGTACTTCTAACAAAAGGGAAAATTCACAATTAATTATAATTAATGTGATATTTATAATTAAACAAAATTGCATCTAAGGGGCCATCCATAAAGTACGTCACACGAATTTCATGATTTTTTGACCCCCCCTCCGTCCTTGTCACAGGTGGTCACATTTCTGAGACCCCCCCCTCCCTAATGTGACGTCACATGTTTTGCAATTTTACATCGAAAAATTATTAAATTAACAGCAGTTCCGAAATTAGTTTTATTTTAATTTAAATTAAGTACTTTTTTTTAATGAAATCAACATTATATCAAATATTTGAAACAATTGAAATGTGATGTCACAAAACTTAGGACCCCTCCCACCCCTTGTCACACCATGTTACACTTTGTCAACCCCCTCCCCCCCTCTTTACGTGTGACGTACTTTATGGATGACCCCTAATTACGAAACTACTATTGTTATTGTAGTGAATTTTTAGTGTTAACTAGTTTGTTATGTAATTGTAGGTAGTTTGTGAATAAATAAATATTTACATAAATGCTTGTTTTCTAGAGTTATGGGTTTTTATATAGAAAAAGGCTATGTATTTCATATTTTCGAAACCCATGTTCGCCAAGACGTGGGCTATGGCTAGTAAATTATTATTTTAATCGCAGCCAAGTGATACTGCCAATGTGTTCATTGTTCTAAACATTATTTTCTTTTGTAATCAAAGATACTTATACTTATCATAAAATTATCATCAATGGAGTTGTTTGGTTTTCGGTTTTATTTGTTTACATGATTTATCATGCCTTTTAGTTGCCTATTACTGGACGTAGATTTTTTTCTAGGGAAGCCTTTGTCCAGCAGTGGACGTCATTTAGCTGAAACGAACCTCTTGTAGTTCGATTCTACCACGCTTTATGATCCTTTTTCCCTAGCAACATAGCCAGACTTAATTATAGAACAAGTACTTACACAGTGATGGCAAAGTCGAATATTTGTAGGCAGAAGAACGGCAGAAGGTGTGCCGGCTTGCCGCGCGCCGCGCCATATATCAGCATCAACGTGATGGCCAGGGTACACACTGTAACCAGTGCACCCACATCCACATCATCTACAGTTGGACACATTACAAATATTGTACATACAAGTATTAAGACATATTGTTCAGCAATGTCTATGTGCCAAGCTGAGTTAGTGAAAATAAACCTATTTTTGGGTTAGAAGCAATTTTCTCAGAATATACTTAATTTATCATTTTTAACTCAATGAGGATAAGTATTTAGCTTTTCAATTAATTGAACCTACCTACAAACAGGATAATAGCAACGATATTGGAATAAGTTACACCATTTGATAATAATATTATTAACTACAAAATATTATTATTAATTGATGAAATACGTTTTTAACCCAGATGCTTGCTTGTTAGGATAGCATTGCAAACAATAAATACACAAATGTTTGCCTACTGAAATGTATAAATGACTATAATGCTAAATTACTTACGGTAAATAAGGCTATGGTCCCTATTTTGATTGGCATGTTGTGGGAACGAGCTTGGAGGAGGTTCCACGTTAGACAGGGGAGTGGGCAATGCATTATTTGGTCGCCCAACATCACTCCAGTCCGCAACTGGAGATGACTCACGCTCAAGTTCTTCAAGAAGGCGAGGGTCTCGCACTATGGCTGCTAGGAAGCCTAATGCAATGAGGTGCAATAGCTGTAAGAAAATTAACTTGATATAGAGGTGCAATAGCTGTAAGAAAATTAACTTGATATAAACTCTCTTTAAATACACGAAGCATGCCTGTTGGAAAAAGGGGCATTGTAGAACATATAAGTCCTGTGCAATCATTTGTATAGTATAGTGTAGATTAAAATAAGGAATTGTATAGAATATAAATAAAAAGAAGTAGTCTCTAAAAACTGTTTTTCTGTAAATAAACATGCATTTTTTTATAACTATCAAGTTGTGTAAATTCAAGGGTATAATAAAATCATACCAGGTGCCATGTTCCCAGTAAGATTGTGCCTGTGCGCACATGAAGACAAAAACAGCAGCGCCACTCGCTGCTACGCTCACTTCCCAATTTGGGACGAAATCTCAACATATTGACCTGAAAATTAACATGATTAGTTAGTAAAAGCTGCCAATTGAATTGTATTAGAGGTAAACAATTATTAAGCTAATTATTATACAGGGTGTTGATTTCAATCCTCGCCATATTTATTTAGGTGATCTATTATGACTTATATAAACGCATTATCCACCAAAAAAAAAATTACAAACTAAAGTAGAATTTTTAGCGAATATTTTCCGTGCGACATCAACTGTACTGTGGCTCGTAATACTGCAATACGTTTCAACTGCGGCACCCATCGAGCTACGCGGATCGCTCGCTTATCATGTCTGATAGTCTACTGAAGGAAGCCACGTAAAATAGGTAGTGTAAATAGGTATTTTTGTTTGACTAACTAAAGTTAAAGTTCGTTTTAAATTAGTTTGCTGTTTCCTATGTGTGTGTGTGTGTGTGTGTGTATTGGAGCGTACCTACGCGCTTTCCGCCACTACCTACCGCAATCGCGGGAGTATTTTGTACACAAAATTACCAGATTATTTACTCCCTACATTAAAAAAAACACATTCCTTTAAGTTTAGAACTAGGTACCTACTCACCGATGCGACTTCAGATGCGTTTCCACGTGCCCTCCCGTAACAGTAAACCATGTTTACGTACTCACGAGCACTGTACGTATGGTTTGGCATCTTCCTAACACTCACTCACTATTATTACACTCACTATCACACTTTCACACACTAAATACTCAAAACCGCACGAGAAAACAATCAAAAATCGCAAATTTGCAATTAGAAAAGTGCATTCGATGAAATACGTCCATCGAATGTCGTCGTGAATCGGTAGTTATCGTTATTCTTCATTTTCAACTACTTTACGTAATTTTTAACATCAGAAAAGTTTAATTTCGTCAGTTTAGTACAGGAAGTCTATCAACGAATGAGAATGTAAAAGCGGCGGGAAAAATACTTTGTTTAATCTTTGTGAACTAAAGATTCGTCCTATCATTAATGCTCTTAAAGCAAGCTTTCAAAACACTCAAATGCAAATGATTTGTAGATCTTTAATTACTAATCGTTATTATTAAAACGATAAGAATATCAATAAATTTTGGTAGTTATTTCGTGTAATGAAATTACATTCATTTAAAATAATCCCGAACATGATGATGAATTATTTTATGTAAGTTATGAAGAATGGAAGTCTAACCTGAACCTAACTAACATTCGTTCAGGGTATTTAAATTAAACGCCGATAGAAATGAAATTACGTTATTACGGTAGTAGGAAGTAATAAGTACTAGAAAACAGTTATCAAGCAGAGAGGAAGAGAAAAGTTGAAGTTACAAGGCAAGAAATAAGAAAATAGCGATTGAGTACTAGGTATTCTAAATACGAGCTAGATTTCGCGGAGCGTGCGCGCGGCCTCTCTGCGTGGATAGCAAAATCGGACTGATGAACAGAGAAAATCGATGATCCACGATTGAGCGCCGGCCGCCCGATGACGCCCGAAACACGAAGATGGGGAAGTACCTATTCCGTGCGAGCCCGATGTCCGTGCCGCGCGCAAGGCGGTGGTATTATTGTATTCAATTACAAGTCACCGCTCCAAATGAAAGATATGAAATTTTCTTTTAAGATATGAAATTTTGTTTAGGTACTGAAATCAATCGAGTTTAAAAACAAAATCTTGTCTTATCTCCTATCGAAAGTGAAGGAACAAGAGTTTGCCAGTGTGTTATTTCTAGGTGTTCAGTTTGCGGTATTAAGTAAGTTAAGTTTTATTTTAATAATTACTATCGTAAAGACGTAAAAGTTATTAAGGTAGAGAGCTGGAAATGTAAGGAATAACGAACCTGTATGAAAGAGCATTATTGTCATCTGTTTACAGTACTTTTGAATGATAAGTAGGTACAAGCTTATCACACACATAAAAGCATGGTTTAATTAAAAAATAATAATAATGTAGGTTCTGTAAAAAAAATTATTTTGCGGAAGGAAGCAAATTCGTGTAAAAGGTTTTTTTATTAATTAAAGAGTACTTAATTAATTAGTTTTTAGAACAACAAATAAACTCGTAACATGATAAGGTGTAAGTAACTAATTTACTCATTACATTTTTAGGGTAGATTTGGATTAAGCTCTGTCCAGTAGTCGTCTTTGAACTCACAGCTGATTGTGGCTGATAGTTGACTGACTCATGGGCGAGCGCGGGTAGTGGGGCGCGGGACGGGGGGCGCAGCGCTTGCCCGGGTCACCGGGTGAGCGGCCGCGCGCCGTTTGCGTTGGGGGACTATTCTGCACTGTAGTGGTCGATTATGGAAATCGTAGATATTTAAAAAATAATAATAAAAAATTTGGAAGTCAGTTTTTTTGCTGATTCGTGATCAGAATAAGCTACTTAATCTACTCCCTAAATATGGCGGGTATTGAAATCAACACCCTGTATAGTAAAATAATATACAAGTTAAAGTTGCAAATTTTTGTTAGAAAAAATGAAAACAGTCTCAACATCATGTTCACAGAACACTTAACTACACTTTATACTGAACTGGTAATAATAATATCATATGTTGTTATGAGTTAAACTTATAAAGTTGTGAATGATATTATGGCTGTTTGGTGTTAGCCAACTGCTACAGTATTTTCACTTAATCAGGCATATTATTAATGGACATACATTAAGCAATACGTGACAGATTGGTAGGCTCGAATGCAATGCAATCGATCAACCATACAATGCAAGCAATGGTACCTACCTACTTAATTTGGTAGCCGAATCAGTCGAATAACGACCGTCCGACTGAGTTGAAGCATACAGAAAAATCGAGGGAATTCATATTATTATCAAGGAGATATTGCAATTCATATAAAAATAAATCTATATGACTAATATAAGACCATGATATCAAGAGACGTACAAAAACGATTTGGGTAATAGTTATTCTTACCTGTTATTGATTGTGATCAATTTATTGTTAAAACGTATATCATTTGATGAGTAAAATTCCTTTCTCACAACGTTAATTAGTGATTATTTTCTTCTCAGAAAATTGCGAAATCAATTTGTGTCAATTAATTTCTTATTTCAGTGACATTGTTTTTTTTTAATAGAAAATCGGATCTGAATCAATGGGGTTCTCTCACGTAAAGCAGATAGCGCAGATGGCGCCAGAGGCGGTCCAGACATGCCTGCTTTTGTTGTTACAAAGTATTGGATGGACTTTTGGGTCAACAAAAGTGCATACTGAAACCATCTGAAACTCTAGGGAAAGGGCAAGGGCATGTTTTGCCCTACACAATCAATATAAACATGTCATACATTTTTTGTATGGCGCGGGCGCTTTAAATATCAATAGTCGAATATTATCGTAGACAGGATTTCGAATTTTATACGATTTTTTTGATTACTATTCCGATTTTTGTTACTTGACGTTTCAGAATCGTTCTCGCTGCTATACGCTGATTTGGCTGATTTTACATATCCCTTTGCCATTTCCTGAAAGAAAATCATCGTCTGTCAGTCATCTCATCCAGTGCTGCCAGATTAGGCGAATTATCGCCATTTAGGCTACCTTCGGGGGTCAAATGGCGACCAAAAAATCCGAACGGCTACCGGTAGCCATTTAGGCTACCTAGAAAAAAAGATCGGGCTATTTAGGCTACTTCAGGATTACTATGGAAAAAGAAATTTTGCATGTAACAAAAGTAACGAAACGTAATAATGCACATCCACCTAACACTTAATCTGAGACATCCACCGTTCTTTCCATTCGCTCACTCTTCATAAGAGTGAGATACTAGCTTTTGCCCGCAGCTTCAATTGCGTGAAATTTAGTTTGTCACAGAATATGTTATTCTGAGTTATAAAGATTGATGCTGTAAAGTTTCATCAAAATCTATTTAGCAGTTTTTGCGTGAAAGGGTAACAAACATTGTTAACATCCAGACATCCATACACACTTTCGCATAATACTTAATATTAGTACGATAGGTACTACTCGTATCTCATGGACTTGGCGTAACTTTAAAATAAACGCGCTCAGTACATACATTACGCACACACTTACACGCATTATAAACACACGATTTATGAAAACAACATAGCCGCAATATAGCCAATCTGCTGACAAGTTTGTGTGTGTGTTTGTTCCGGCGTTTCTTCTCAGCACTTGCCATTATGTTTGTCTCGAAGCGCTGGTAGAGCCCAAAAGATAAGAGACATGTAAAGTGCCCCATAAGGGCTCTTTACATGTCTCTTATCATCTTTTTTATTATTTTCTATAATAATTTTGACGTTCATAAGTGCCACTTGTGGTCTAAACTGAATAAATACTTTTGATTTTGATGTGTGTGTGTGTGTGTGTAGTTGTCAGCTGATTGCCATGCTGTCTTCTTAAATATAGTTCCAAAATACTGAACTGTCCTGTGCATGTCATTGACAGTGGGGCGCCACCGTCAATACCGGATCGCTGGTTCCGATTTTTGTCATGTTGGAAATAATAACTCTATGTGGAAACCATATACTTGAACGATGGTAGCGCCCCCCTGTCATTGAGTTTGGTGGGACAGTTCAGCGTGGGTCATCTATTTACTTCTAATCTTGTATTTACTCGGCACAAGTCAGGTAGTGACGTCACATGAAAATGTTGCCAGAATGAATACTGACCAAATATTATCTATCTCTTTTTTTATACGTCACCATGGGTATAATAAGTTAGAAGGAGATAAACAGCTGTTTGTCATTAATGTGTCGATTTGATATGCATTTGTAAGCAATTTTTGTATACTTAGCTCAAAAGGTTAGGCGATTTAGGCTACTCGGTAGGAAAAATTAGGCGAATTGAGTTGGCTGATATCTGGCAACCCTGATCTCATCCGTCATTGAACAAAAAAAAAGGTTTCGAATGAATGAACGGGGTATTTATTTTCTTTTACGTCGCTACTTTTCGATAAATTAAGTTTTAATTGATTTGTTGATTTGTCTGTAAATTGCAGTTATCATGGACAAAATTCCAGATCAGATTGGTTATTTGGTGTTAGCTGAGGACGGCGCTGTTCTTGAGTCAGGCGGAGAGTTGGAGAACGACGAACGAGTAGCAACTATTATAACTGACCTCATCACTTTATCTAACAAGTGTGTAATATTTTTGTACAGCACGATTTATCTAATTAAGCATTACCTAAGTATTTTTGGGATATTAATTAGTGCCCATTTTGTTTTCAGGGTAGATCCTGCTGCCTTTGCACCTAATGAGCAATTCAAGAAAATAACAATAACATACGACGATCACTGGTTTGTAGTTTGCCTCTCCAACAAAAAGATTTATGTGGTGAAGAAAAATATTCCAATATCTACTACTGAAGGTAACACTGTGAATGTTTGAAGATAGTTAAATCAAAACCACAACATGGGACGAAATTTATTAATGAGTAGTCTGGAAAACGCTTCATTCAACATTGTATTCCAAATTTTATTCCGTTGTGTCACATTTATTATCAATGCATGGGTAATACGTAATGTAGGCCATGAAGTCCTTGGTATAATGAATGTTCGGTTATTGTTATTAGAGAGTACTATTCTATTTTTAAGTCGGGAACCATTCAACCGTGCCTGTTTAGGCCAAAAAGATGAGTTTAGTTGGAGTCACATTATAAATCAAATTTGGTTATCAGTCCCTATCAGTTGTGTTTTATCTTTATTATTTGTTTACATCTGGCTACACATACTTCCTTCTGGAGACCCTGAATATTCTTTTCAATATACATTTGGTTGCTGGAGTGTTGCCCTTTCATGTGTTTTGGAGCTGTGTTCAGCTAACATGGCTCTTGTAGCACAGTTGTTTTGTTTTGTTAAGTTTAAAGTTGCTCTGGACACATTACACATCTTTGTAAGAACAACATTATTTCTATCAATTATAATTTATGATAGATCTGTAGCTCTTATCGCCTTTTCAATAGCACAAGTGGGAAGCATAGCAACAATAGTTATAACTTACTATATTTTCTTTTATTGGTACATTAAAAATAAGCCTCTTTATGCCAAAGGTGCACTTAAAAGCAAGTTTGTGCCTGAACCTGTTTTGCATAGACTGTATGACAACATGGAAGACTTTCAGTTTACTTCATTGAGAGATTTCCTGCCTAAATATTTGGGCACTGTGAATTCTACATTCAACAAAAAATTGAGTACTCTTACTATAAGCTTTGCTAAACAAGGTGTTGTAAAACAGTTGTTGACAGAAGGTGAAAAGTATGTGATGTCAGTTAGTCCAGTAATGAGTTTCAGTGAACAGGCTACTTATGATGTAGTTAACAATTTGGGTAGTCTAGCTGCTCGATTCATATTTAGACCTATTGAGGATAGTAGTTATTTCTACTTCACCCAAATGGTGAGCAGAGAGTTACCACTTCATAAGCAGGATAAGTACAAAATCCAGGAGTCCTGTTCAGTGTTATCTCAAGTGTGTAAGACTGTTACATCTATAGGTTTAATAGTGTTGATATTTGGACAAAGTTATGCACGAACCTTGTTGATGTTATATGGAGGAGAAGCTTTTGTAGCTAGTGGACTGCCAGTACAATTGCTTCGCAGCCATTGCTTGGCAATCGTTTTGTTAGCTATAAATGGAGTGACAGAATGTTATACATTTGCTACTATGACAAGTGCTCAGTTGAATAGTTATAATTATTTGATGGTTTTTTTTTCTGTTAGTTTCTTATTTTTATCATATGGATTGACATATATTTTTGGACCTGTGGGCTTCATTGTATCTAACTGCATCAATATGTTTGCTAGAATAATGCATAGTATCCATTTCATTAGTAATAAATATAGAGGTACAGATTATAAACCTCTGGAAGGACTTTATGTTGGAAAAATGTTTCTAATAGTCCTGTTTGTTGCTGGATGTATCTGTAAATTATCCGAAAACAAATTATCCCACCATTCTATAATCACGCACATATTTATTGGTGCAGTATGCTTGGTTTTTGTTCTCCTTGCTTGGATTTACGAAAACAGAGCACTTTGTATTCAATTGTATAAAAAACTTTTTAGAAAAGATGATATTAAAAAACATTCACAAGATTAGCATACGGTTTAATAACAAAGTTATATAACAAATATTGTAATTAAGAAATAAATAATATTTTATACTATGTAAAATATGATCTATGAGTGTTAAAGATAAATAATAAAAAGTTATGATCACCATATATTCGTTTTATTCAGTTTTGTAAACATTGCCTTAGGCAAATGCCAACTTATTTACATACATTTTTACAATGGTTCTTTTTTACATTGGGTAAAAGAAAATGCCTTTCATTTGTGATTCACATATACGTTTTACTTCATCTGTAAAAAAATATTGTTATTGTAAAAAATTGTTACGATTTCTATAATAGATAAAGACAACAAAATAAAGAAAATACCTGCAATTTCTTTCAAGTTCGCATTCTTTTCTTGTATTATCACATAGAATTCTCTGTCATTTGATGATTTCCCGGTAATCCAATATTCATCAGGAGTTTTGATTATTACCTCGCCATAGTTTCCAAGGCTGAAAAGTATTAAAATTTATATTATAAAGAATATTAATGCCTAATAAGTGACCCTAATTACTAGCGAATCCCTACCTCATCTTGTCTGAATGGATTCCAGCTATTATACTTAATACTTCAGGTTTTATTGTTGTTGATGGAATTAACTTATTTACTGGAGGCTGTAAAACAAAAAGATTATGTTGAAAGATAAAAGTGAAAACAAAACCTATAATAGGCAGGTATTACCACGGTATTACACTATTTGCATCATGCTGGCCATTTGTAACCTTTTTTGCAGTGTACATCCATCTGGTGTTCATTAAGTAACTTACCGATGTTTTAAACGCTAGGTTCAGTCTATTGAAGTAAACAAACTTATGCTCTGTGTTAGCCAGTTGGGCAGTCTGTAGAGCGTGGATCGCACATTGCTCGCTGATTGTGGATGCTATTGTTGACAACTGAGGGCCAATGAATGCGTCTAATGATCGAAAAGCCTCTATTTCTAAAACAGTATTTACTGAAAACAAAAAAGATGAATGTATTCACCCCTTCCAACAGTAGTAAAATGTAATTACAAAACTAAAAAAAAGCCAACCATCAATAGTGAAACAGACTGTGGCACTCAGAGTTCTGTAAATTATCAAATAATATTGTTTAGTTTCTGTTTCATCTTCTTTGAGTAAATGTACTTTGACCAGTTTTTTTAAATCATCTTGTGTGCGAATTCCTTCAGGTGGACTGATGAATCGCCCATGTCTTTGTGCTGCTGCTATTGCTCCACCTTGGATCTCTCTTTCTACTTGTTTTGGTAGTAATGTTTGAACCAAATATTGGTACAAAGTGAGCATATCATTAGATGAGAGTCCATTCCTATAAGGGAAAAGAAACAGCATTAAAAATGAGGACATTAGTTTAAAGGGTTAATAACAAATAGTACTATCAAGTTACCTAAATGTATACCAATATCTTAGAGGAAAGATTGATTTCAAAACTAATGAACCAATTTGGAAGTCTATCACCTAATAATGGTTTTAGGTGATAGAATATTTTCAAAAAAGTAAGAGATCCAGATGAAAACTTTGATAATGTAATTAAATTAATTGGATAAGTCCCACATTAAAAATTATAAACCCAAAAAGATATTTACCATATTAGTTGGTCATTATAAACAAATGATATACATTTGAAGTCAGGGTAATTGACTTCCAACAGATCTATGAAAGACATGACCTTGAAGAAACTGTTTTTATCCAGTGGCAAGTAACTGATCCCTTGAATTACATCAGATATATCATTTGTGAGGTTTCTGGACATGATGTACTGAAATGAAACAAAAACAGATGAAGAATATGTTCATTGATGTTTTGTAATATTAGTTATTTTGATTCTGTATGCACATGATTTATTAATAAACTTTGTACTTACTGGTGTGAAGAATTCATCACATGTTGAGTATATTTCTTCAATAGGAATGTCTTTGAAAGGTCCCATGAACATTCTGAACATTTTGTAAGCAGATACTAGCAAGTCACTCATAACTGATGGGTCCAGCTGTAATGTGAAATGTTTTTGTGACTCATACAAAACTTGTAATTTTAAGTTAAAGATTTGTAAAGAAAGAGAGTGCATATCTTTTCTAACATGAATCTTTATCTTTATAACAACATTCTTGTATTTTAAAATAGTTTTTACAAAAATATTTTTCTTACAAATTCTGCTCGACCCTCTCCAATGGCAGATACTGCTTTTGTAGTGTATGGTATTCTTACAACCTGTTAAAAAAATACCACTTAAAGTAAACACTACTAAACTTATTTGTATAGCTGATACTCAATGTATCTTACCAAAACCATCCAAAATCCTTTCTCAGGTTGGTAAAAGATGTACCTTTTGGTCTGGGTTTGAAGAGCTTCACATGGCTCAGATGAAAATGTGCTGAAAATTCAGAGATATTGGTTAAATAGGTATATTTTTTAAAAACTTATTAATAGTTTAATGAATGTGATCTAAACTGTATCAGAAAAATAACATTTTAAATTAATCAACTTATGTCACTACTTACGACATAAATTTTACAACAGCTTCGCACAAACCCACTTGTATTTTACGAGCATCTGTACTGATTTCATGTGGGTGGAAGAACAATACTCTTTTTACTTCCTGCAATATTTGTAAAGCCTTAATGTTATGGAACTTATAAATTATTTTGGAACATGTATTGAATAAAGGACTTACTTCTCCTTCTTTAGGGCCAAATGAAGAATTAAAGATGAAGAACGAATTAATCTTTGTTTTTACATCAATCATTTTGGAGAAAACAATCAAGTTGTCTAAATTGTGTATGAAAAATAATTGCCTAACTTATTCAAAAACTGTTCTATTTGACCACTCTTTTTAAGCAAACGCTAAAACATGTTAATATGGAATTTATATTATATTTTTGACTCAAGCAAGAAGAGTTAAGAAATTGTAAATAAATACAAATTATTAGTTCACACCACCAGTCACCATACAAAATTTTACTGTAATGCGTAATGCTATTTTAACGTTCGATTGAAATGTCAATTACATTTTAAGATTCTTTATATAATTAGCGACCTAATTAGTTGAACATCTTTAGTTAGATGATCTCATTGAGATTTTTGTAATATCTCTGCCTCATAAGTATGATGGAAATACTTCATATTTTAATGTATTTTTATAAATAAAAATATTTATTGAAACGTTAAAATAAAGAATGTTGCAATTTAGTTTGACGTTTGACATGTTGATTTGACAGATTCAAGTAAGCAAAGGAATCAATGACTAAACAGTTTTTCAAATGATAAAAATAAATTCATAAATGACAATAAATCTATGAAAACTATTAAATACTGTTTTGTTTTTGTTGTAATACTTAAATGAATTTATTACATTTTCAATGTATTTAAAACCCGATTACAACAGGTGGGGCTTGTACTTTAAAATAAGGCACAAAGTTAACTGTGTTGCTTTTAGGGCATGTAGCCAAGATGTCAGATTGCTTGACCGCCAATAAAATAAAAACCTTAAAAAGGAACTATAGGTAGGTAGGTATACATATTTGGAATCCTAGGTTGATTGATCCGTTATTTGGTAGAAGAACCTTGTTGAGTGATTAATTGTATGAGTTTTCTACTCAACAAAAGGTTTTTGTTTTGATTGCGTTAATTTTCCACTGGACCCATAGATCATGGACCACGGTTAAAATCTCGTTGAAGATGACCATAAGCTTAAAATGACGTGTTGTCACGGTAACGACGCTTTGTTTATAAATAAATTTTACCTCGTACCTACACGGCGACACACGTTTCGATTATTCATTTGTACTTATTTATTGTTACGTATATTTAATTTACTTTTAAATCATGGCAATACGAAATCCTAGACTGCCGCTTTTGCCTGGATACGGGTCTAATCCCTTGGTAAGTTTCTAATACCTTACATAAAATACCCGACTGTCTTTAACTTAGTAGACGTACATCATGGACCTATAAAAAAAGTCGGACGGATTCTCATCAACAAAATACTGTGACATTAGGATACACCAGCTTGCCTGTATNAACTATGTGCCTCCAAAGAGTTCAAAAATACATGTTAAAGGTACTTTTATCGGCACATTGGTACGCTGGCCTTTAGGAAATACACGAAAACCTGATCTCAGCCAAGCCCGCTAATCAAATATCAAAGTATCTATGATCAAAAGAGCTAATTTACTAGGGTAAACTATTGCGGCAGTGGCTCTATCGTGTCAAACCCCAACCAACTGCAATCCACCTGATTAGTCTTGGCGAAAGATACTAAAAAAGCCGATTTTTTTAAAAATACCTAATAAATAAAGGTCAAACAAGGTCACGCCGCCGACGCCGCCGCCGCCGAAGTCAAAAAGTCGGCGCGCCGCCGCCGACCAATTTTATATCGGCGCCCACCTCTAATGTATTACCAAGTCATAGATAGATTTAGTGTTTATTCTATTCCATATAACAATTTCACGAAGTCCTGCATTTTTATTTATTTTAAAACATGTTTTTCCTTGACACCGACATATTTGGTCCCAAACTAAGCAAAAGCTAGCGCCGCGTTCTCACTAAACTTCAAAATGTTCAAATGAAAATATGTATATGCCATAATTGATTGACCCACTGGCATGCCCTGGAAATATGGTCACTAAACAATGGAGCGGGCGAGGAATGGGATCGCCGCAAACGCAATATCCCATACAAATATCTCATACAGGTCCCGTAATGAGAATGCCCGTCATACCGCGCTTTACGAGCTGGGAACGGTTGGGAATTCCTATTTTATTAACCCCCTTTCAAACGGGTGATTTTCATGTTTACTAAAACAACAGTGGCTCTTTGACAAATAAGCCGGGAAGATTTCTAAAATTCACTGTTCGCAAAGCACATAATGGCAAACTGCATTCTTTAATATTACAGAGAATAAAACGGACTCTAAATTAAATTGTTACAACGCTAATTATTCATATGGAATGGACACTTAATTTTACAGCCCTTCAAAACAGGTTTTTTTCATGTTTCCAAAATGATACATTACGTCTAGCTTTTATTATGATATTTCAGAGAGTTGTCCCTTTCGCTCCATTCTATATTCGATACTAAGGTGAGTGAGACACAACATAACGTGACCATAGTTATTTGTGACAGAACCAAATTAATGTTTTTACTACTTAAAGAGTTATGACAGAATAAGACACATTATAACCACACAATATACCAACAAAACGCCACACTAACCTACTAATTAACAAAATGATCAATTCATACTGTAATTTCACAATGGACCAAGTGCACGATTTGATTGAGCGTATTATGTCTCTAGGTATTTTTAATTGACATAGAATTTTGTTTTATAATGTTGTTTCAAATATTCATTATTTTGTTATTTACTCAATCAAGTGTTATTGTTTTTTATTTTTTGTATAAGGAGGGCAATGATGTGGGAACGCAGGACGCTAGTCAATACGCTCTGTTCATTCATAAAGTTAATTTATTACTCTGATTAATGTGTACCTACATCATCCCCCTCCTTATACAAAAAATAAAAAACAATAACACTTGATTGAGTAAATAACAAAATAATGAATATTTGAAACAACATTATAAAACAAAATTCTATGTCAATTAAAAATACCTAGAGACATAATACGCTCAATCAAATCGTGCACTTGGTCCATTGTGAAATTACAAGCAATGCGCAAGTTAAAGTAAAAAGTAAAAACATAAGAAAGTTGTATGTGTCTATCATTATACAGGGTGTTTGGCGCATCGTGTGCCAAAATGATTTGGCGGATAGAATGGATCATTTCCTATATTTTCAGCCCCCATAACACGTTCCATGCCAGGCGGCTACTTTTATATTAATTTTTTTAGTAATTTCACCAAAATACCCAAATCGCATCATTTAATTTCGATTAAAAAAAAAACTACTAGACGTAGCCTCAAAGTAATATTTTGTTTTGACGTGCATTGATGTAGGGTTGCATCAAATCTAAATTTACTGGCAAATATCATCTAGTTTTTTTTTAAAAAAATCTATCAGAGATAATAATAATATATTGATGATGCATAAGATTATGATTATAATGTACACAAGATTCGTAATTTGTAACTGCGTGAATCATTTTTGATCAACATTATGTACATACCCTGACACACTGACTTGCAAATAATGTAAGAAAATTTGAACATTGAAAATTTCGCGCCTACCTCAACGCATTCACCTTTCATCCTTTTAAAATGGCACGGAATAATTTTGTCTACATTTCCAAGTAACATCTGCCGATCTATGTTTTTCTTAAAATAAATGGGTAAAATGTTTTGGCTAACATGGCATCCCTAAATTCACTCACACAATAGACAAACGCCAAAATTTTGCGTCACAGTTTTGTTGTAGCGCGAGTTCCGTCCGCCTTTTTTTATAGGTCCATGACGTACATAGTATTCTATTCTATACTTACCCTGAGCACGAATGACTTGTAATCCCTAGATTAATCGTAACAGCGCTGTTTGGTTATTTATTTAAAAAAATATACTTCAACATAACGAGAAAGATATTTATTCGTGCTCAGGGTACTGAGGGTATACTGTTCAAAACGTTTAATAGAACATAGTACATTATTTACTCCAATACAAACCAGTTTTATAGACGCCCTACAAAATATAATTAATCACTTTGTTAATTTTGCAGATTGGCAAGAAAAGTTTTGGCGTACGCCCTGTATTTACATCTATAGATAGGGTGAATATGCTGGTTGACAAGACTGAGGGCGAGAACCGCGTGCCCTCACTCTACTGCCGCAAGCAAGCACCAGACCTGCCTACCTGGATCATGTACGACAAGCATGTGCGTACCTACTAACATTAATATTGTGCTCTACTAATTTCATTTCAAAATTCACAATTAAAAATTTTCCGTCGAACATTACCTACTTAGGGGCTGCCATAAAACGAACGTGTTTTTTTGCCGATTTGTGCTTAAAAACCATAATACCAACAAAATTTGTACGGAACCCACGCTCGGTACTGAGTTCGACGCACTTGGTTGGTTTTTGATATGAAATTATGATTTATTTCATCTAAAAATTGAATATCTGTATACATAATTATTATATTTCACGAATGTTTTTCTATTTAGATTTTGCGCTTTCAAGCATTCTTTCAACAAACGCTGCACGAGATGCGAAGTGGAGCGTCTGTTCTGCGCAAAGTGAACATATTCTTCTTTTTGGAAGATGGCACTATCAAAGTTATGGAACCGCGAACAGAGAACAGCGGATTATCACAAGGTTACTGCTATTAGATTATACATATTAAATATTAATGTAACTCTATGTATAGGTAGAGATGTTGAAAAATATCCAAATGTTATTCAGGTACAATGATTGCCCGACAAAGAATCCGTCTCCCGCACAGCTATGATTTATACTATGATGTACTTGATCTTAACATCGGGCGGGATGTCACATTCTTTGGAAAAGTTTTCAAGGTATGTTTGTTCTTCGTTCAGGTTTCAAAATATACCTGATTGTGAATTTATGCATTGACGCAAATCTATTCTTTACAGATTGTAAATTGTGATAATTTCACGAGAGTATTCCTCAACCGTCTTGGCATCAATGTACCCGATCCTATACCTTGGCCTGATGCATTAGAAGTAAGTATAGTATAATATAGTGATAGTGTAGAAGTAGTTGATAAAGTACTGTTATTTTTTGCATAATTATGAACTAACTCATGATGTAAATTTTCAGAGAGCACCATCCAAAGGTGGTCCACCAAAACACCGGCCTTTTAGACAGTTTTTAGATTTCGACAGACAAGTTTTACGGTATATCGAAAATAAATATTACTATTTTGTATTATTAACAATATAATTATGTTTTATGGACTAACACTGATTTTATCATTTCTCAGTTTCTATGGTTACTGGGACGATCGTGATTCAGAATTTGGAGTAATGCATTACTTAG